ATAGGGAGAAGTGCTCCGGAATATGTAAACGGGGTAGTTAACAGATAACAATGTGATTTTGTCATGTTATGGTTTGTAGCGTTTTGGCCAAATGAGGAACTGTAGGGTTTAATAGCTTTGAGGGATTAAAAGCGGTGGAATTTGAGTTGGATAATTGATCAAATCAGCCGTCGCACATACTGCGTGTGGACTACCGTGTACCACTTCACTCCAACCCTATCCACTCTGATCGGATACTATTGAGTCCAGGCCATTCTAGTGCACTCCATTGTAAAGATCTTTCTCTCAGCCATCAGACAACGAGGGCAGTTAGCACTTGAATGCAAAGCCGCGCTCAATGTGCCCTAACATTTTACAATATTGGAAGTTTCGCAACTGACTGTTATATTATAAGCGTCCTACCAAAGTACTCATCTCCAGTACACTTTTTTCCACAATAATATGTTACGTCAATTAGATATTCCGCGCACCGCACTTTCACCCATGGAAATGAAAACCAGTGAAATTCAATGTAAAGTGCTACTGCCTAAATTGAAATGGTCAAACTTACTTGCGGGTTTAGTAAAAGCCACTTCATTCGACTGCATACTGCAAAGATGATGCTGGCAGCAAGTCACGAAGGACGCTTCTATTCTACTGTTCGCCGGCATCTTACTCACATGGCAGCTTCCTTTCGCAGCATCACACACAATTTCCTCCTTCCTACCCTCTACTTTTAGTGTGTAATTGAAGTGTGAATGGTCTCCTTCATAGGGCGTGAAATGGAAAACCAAGGAGGATTCAGTGCGATTAGTGATGGCTAGTGGCGGTGGATCTGCAATTGGAAAGACGGAACAGATATGTGGTGTCTTAACAACCTGCTGTACAAGGTGGTTAAAGCCGTGCTGCCTATTTCTATCACTACTCCTGTTCTCTCTAATTCTGCTTAACAACATCCAGATTTGATTCGGATTTATCCAAGTGTGAATTTTGCCAGCGGTTTCAAGGTGCTTAAGAAAGTGAAAGAAATTGGTGTAATCAATGCTGTTTTATCAACGGTGAGGCAGTATTCATACTTACTGCGGGTCAGACAATTGAGCGTAATGTATTCGACGCAATAACTGCATTATTTGTGAACGCTAGAGGATTCAAGCTAGATCTGAGAGTCTTGCCTTTGTCATGCTGGATTTTGAGTTACAGCCAATGGACTGGATATGCTCCAGTTTACCACATTCATGATGATTAGCATTTTAAAGTGTCAGAATTAGACATAATGAATTAGATTGCATTTAAGTCTGCTGCCTGGTTGTTATTAGATTCTATAATTTGTCCTGTTGCATCGTCGTTATTCCACCCCTTTTGTGGTCCCGGCGATACATTGCCGTTGTTATTGCAGTTGTATGCAATGAATGTTTCACTGTCAAGGCAACATTCGCATTATGATATTGCAATGAAGTGAAGAATGAGAACCAAAAATGATATGACCATTCGAAGATCTGGGTACAATTCTCAAGCACTGAGTTAGTCACAGAGCTATCTGCATTTAGTTACTTGATTTACAACGCGACCTTTGGTTTCAAATCTACAGCACAGATTTGCCGATGCCTTCATTCTCCTTTCTAACTCGCACATGAATCCTATCTTGTTTATCTGCCTCGAATCTAGCAGACTGGAAGTCAGGAGAGTCTCATTTAGCAATTCATACAGAAGCTAAAGCTGTAGAACCAAAAAAGATGGCATCTTTATCAGTATATGTCTCTTTCTTGATCGATGTAAGGAGATAAGAGGTTTAATTATCTACAGTCAAATTTTTGCAAATTGGGCAAATTTTTAAAGCAAAGACTGCAATCTTCAAGATCTCTTGCGAACACTGCATGCAGAATTCTTGGGCTACGTTATGCTGATGATAATGATGACAAGGAATTCGAGAGACGAAAATTCGGACACATGTTTAACACAATACGACAAACGACCTCAAAGTATTCAAAGCTAGATTATGCATTC